TTTAAAAAAATTTAAACTTATAAAATATGAATATTAAATAGTATCAAAAAACTGAAATTATTGCAACCATGCTCTTAATTAGCTAAGCATGTGAGCTGAAGCATCAAACAATATACCTGCAACCCGGAAAAGTTACTGCATTAGGTAATGATTAGAATGAAAAGGGGCAATTAATCAGGAAAGGTATCTAACGCTATAAAAGCTTTCCACTCATCGCAGTGTCAATTTCACACCAACATGAAGGAGCAAATGAAATGCAATGAACAGCAGCAACAACAATGATTCCTCGTTACAGAGCATTTTGAGGCTTCATTTCAACTATTCATATGGAAAATTATGCTTATTTAAGGAAAATAAATGCCCAAGATAGTTCATGTGTACAAAAACTTATCTGCTAGTGTACAGCACCAAATGATGGTTTCTGTGTAATGAAACTGAATCACTTGGTCAGGAGTTGGGACTCCCTACAACTTTAAAGAAACTCAAATGGTGTTTGCTTTACATGTATACTCCCCCCCACCTGAGATTTCCAAAAGTAAACATGGTAATGGAAGTTCATCGCTGAACCTCACTTCCAATACCATCAAGCCACGAAGCAACGTCTTCAATTAAGGGTCTCTGCCTTGGATCCTGATCTAAGCATTTACAGGCAATTTCAAGCATCTGTAGGAGCTGCTTCTCACGATCCTTGTCCCAGATTGATGAGTCTATAATCTCCACTTCCCTTTTTTCAGACTTCATCTGAAACACCCAAGACACTAAATCCCTGCAATTCTTTCCTTTGCATACTTCCACAGGCCTTCTAGCGGTAAGAAGCTCAAGTAGAACAACACCAAAGCTGTAAACATCACCTCTGCAGGTTGCCGTTAGCGTCTGACTGTACTCTGGTGGAATATAACCCAATGTCCCAACCAAGTCCGTTGTGACATGAGTGTCATAAGGCTGAAGTAGCCTTGAAAGCCCAAAATCAGCCAAATGAGCTTCAAATTTGTCATCCAAAAGTATGTTGCTAGATTTTACATCTCGATGGACAATGTTTGGCTGACAAACTTTGTGCAAGTAAGCTAACCCATGAGCTGCTCCTTGAGCAATGTTGAGTCTTGCATCCCATTTAAGAACTGAAGAACCATCAATACTCTCATGTAGCCAGTAGTCTAAGCTTCCATTCTCCATATATGAGTAAATTAATAATCTATCATTACCATACTTACAGTAACCTTGAAGAGAAACAAGATTTTTGTGCTGAGCTCTTGAAAGGGCTTCCACTTCAGCTCTAAACTCTCGTTCCATCTGACCACAATCCCCAGAAAGCCTCTTGACTGCAGCTTTGGTACCATCTGGAAGGTATGCTTTGTAAACCAGTCCAAACCCACCACAGCCAATTATGTTTGCTTGGTTGAAATTATTTGTAGACATCAACAGGTCTGCAGCTGTAAGCTCCTTACAATTTGAACTCTGAAAGAGAACCAATTTTGATGAGCAAAGAGCTTCAGATAACCGTCGTGGCCTGCTGTATTCCTCATCCAAATCATTGACTGGATCCCCTGCATCACTCCTTGAGATTCTAAGCAGAACGATTGCAAGCAGCAATAGAATCCCAACAGCTATGCTGATTGTCACACCAAGGATGCTGCTTCGACCAAATTTACTCTTTGAACCAGATTGAATAGCTGGGTTATCAACAACATGACAAGGAGCAACTATTTTCCCACAAAGTCCTGGGTTGCCTTCAAAGCTCGAGCTCGGGAAGCTATAAAACTGTCCACCAGTAGGAATTTCACCCTGCAAGTGATTATAAGCCACACTAAACTTTGACAGGAATGTGAGCTTGTCAAATGACTGGGGAATTGATCCATACAGGTCATTGAATGATAAATCTAGAGCTTCCAAGTTTGCCATCTTTGAAATGGAGTCAGGAATGAACCCAGTAATGTTATTCCTGCTTAAATCTAAGACATGGAGCTGCTTCAACTGTCCAATTTCAGACAAGATTGTCCCACTTAATCTGTTATTGCTCAGAAGTACTGATGGTGGGAAACTTGAAGCCTTGCTATATGGAAGACCATTAACACTCCGGTTTCGCTTTACATAGAGAGGAATCCCCACAGAATCTGGAAGGGTGGGCAAACTGCTGTTTGAGGAAACGAGGCTCTTCAGTTCCATCAAACCTTTTGGAATTTTGCCAGTGAGGGAGTTATTTGAGAGGTCCAAGTAAAACAAGTTGTCCATCTGACCAATCCAAGATGGGATACTGCCATTCAAATGATTCCACGACAAGTCTAGAATCCCTATCTTCCTACAATTCAACAACCAGTCTGGGATTTTGCCTCTCAGACCACAATTTCCAAATGCTAAAACCATTAAATTCTCAAAACCACTCACATTTTGAGGAATTTCCTCACCATGGAAGTTCTTTGTCAGGATAAGGGTGGTGAGGTTTTTACACTGCTGCAGCACAGATAGTGAACTAGATAAGTCCACAAAGCTATTGTTTGACAATGATAGGAATGAAAGGGATGTGAGTTTGCAAAAACTCTCAGGGAATGGACCAGAAAGCTTGTTCTTAGCTAGGTTCACAGTTTTCAATTCTTTACAATCAGAAAGAGAGTTGGGGAGTTGTCCCATAAAATGATTAGTGGCAAGATCAAGTGTGCTGAGACTAGGCATCCCAGTGAAATTGAGATTAATATGACCACGTAAAGAATTGTTTCCAAGATCAAGCATGGAAAGCTTTGGACAGAGTGCAAGGGACGAAGGCAATAGCCCAAAAAATGAATTTGAGTGCGCAACTAACTGCTCTAAAAGTGTAAGGTTCCCAAAGACATTAGGAATTTCACCAGAAAGTTGGTTGCCAGAAATATACAAGGATTTAAGATTAGAAAGCTTACCCAAATTCTTGCTTAATTGGCCTGAGAAAAGGTTTCCAGGGATTGACAGTCGCTCTAAAGATGACATTGAGTACAAATAATCTGGAAGATAGCCAGAAAGTGAATTGAAACCCAAATGCAACTCTTGGAGAGCTGTACTACAATTGTCCAGGCCTTCAAGGGTGCCCAGTAAATGGTTCATTGACAAATCAACTATCCGGATTACTTTGGAGTAACTGCAGATCCCTGGACTGAATTGACCAGTGAATGAATTGTTGCTTATGTTGAACACAGAAACATTTGGAAACCCCACAAGCTCAGAAAAATTACCACTGAATGAATTGCTTGAAATATTCAGTGACTGAATGGACACTAAACCAGAAAGTGATTCAGAAACTGGTCCTGATAGCTTATTATGGCTCAAATCAAGAACCTCCAACTGCTTTAAATTTGAGAGCTCTACTGGCAGTCTGCCTTCAAGACAATTGTATGAAAGATTGAGCCACTTCAGCTGATTTAAACGGCCTAAAGAGCTTGAAATTGTCCCTTTGAGACCTTTTTTGTGCAGAATCAACATGGTTACCCTACTAGAATTTGAACCACCAGTCTCATTCTCACAGAAAACGCCATCCCATTTGCAGCAACTAGATTCATCAGACCAAGCTGCGATGATGGACCCATCTGTGAGATTTCTAGCAAATTCTTTTAGTCCTAACAAGTCATTTGGATTGCAGGATTGGCCAGAGGCTTGGAGACCCGATGATGAATAAAGAAGGCAAACCAGTAAAACCCATTTGAGGAAAGTCATTGGAGTAAGCCCCAGTACCACCATTACTGAAACCAAAGAAGAATCCCAGCTTAAACCAAGGCTAATACTTCAATGAAATCACTTCAATATGGTATAATTGGCAAGCACCGCTTTTCAGATGCAAGTAGAGACCTAAATAAAGAAACTTACATGCCCACATCCCAAAAGACCTCCCTCAGCAAAACTCAACTCGCAACTTGAAAATGAAGCAACAACTGCAATTGAATTGAGCTCAGCAACTCCCACCTGAAATCAAATCCCAAGACCGTAAATCAGGCATCCAAAACTTATTTCAATTGTGAGAGGGTGTTAATTAAACACAAAATCTTACAGAGAAAACTCCCAAATAAAGAAACTGAAAAACTCACATCCCAAAACGACTCAAATCCCCCCAAAAAAAAAAAAAAAAAGAAGCTAGCAGCAACTTGAAAGTAAAGCAATATAAATTACCATTAAATAGAGAAAATAAGGGGCAGGAAGCACCGGTCACTGGCAGCAAGAAGATTGGCTGAGATCTCAGGTGAAGTCCTCTCACACCAACAATTAAGACCCAAAATCCTAAAATTGTTGAAGAAATATTACCCCCTCAGAGAGAGACACAGAACGAAAGGGGCTCAAACCCACATCCCAATATCAGTCCAGCTACCAAAAGAACCCTACTTTGCTGGCAATTAATAGTAACGGGAAATGAACACCTAAACAATCGGATCCCAAGATGGATAAACTACGACAACGAGAGAAACTTTAGCGGTCTAAAACCACGACCCAAAAGTCCACATCAACTTGCGAGCTAAGTAATAAGAGTCACCTGTGAACGCAACATCAGCATTCAACAACGCCCTCTGTTCCCTGTGACTCTAATTTCAAAACTAGACGCCTCCATCTCTCTCACCCATTTTCAAACCAAGAAATGGACGACAGAATCTTTAAGAATGGAGATATTTCAAATCAAAGAAACGGTGAGGCTGAGGACAAGTAACAGTGTGAGTACAACATAGAAAAAGGAAAGTTTCTTTTGGATTTCAAAGGAATCCATATTTTTATTGGTCAAAAACAGTACCATCAATCGGAGCAAGTAGAGATTTTGAAATCTAGGCACAAAGGGGCTGACTTTTGTGCAATTTCTTTTTTCAGTTTTACAACGCTCTCTGATTTTGTGTTTGCTTTCATCTTTCCAGGTTAAAAAAAAAAAAAATTGAGGGACATGATTAGCTTGGACCTAAACACGTATGCTGGGATGGCGGTGGATTTTTCTTTCCCCACGCTCAGTTCTTGAGCGTGTTTGCATATTCCCTTGTCCTTTCCTTTTCAGTCAAATTCGAGTTGCATTGGAACGACATACAGTTTTTTTAGTTTCTTTTTTATTTTTATTGCTAAAATAAGTTTTTCTTTTGGCCAAATTCAAAATTAGATTTTTTTTTCTCCAAAACTAAAAGGTAAAACCGCACTTGATTGACCCATATTCTCAATTAAATTTTTAATTTTTTTAAGTAAATAACTTCCTAAATCCCATAATTTATGTAATTTTGTCTTTATTTTTTTGGTCTTTTTTTTTTTGTCTATAACTTATATAGAGTTTGTTATTATAAAAAAAGGTAAAATTGCATAAATTATAAGGTTTTAGAGACTTATTTGTTTTTTTTAAAAAATCTAAGAACTTAATTAAAAGCATATGGGGTCAGTTAAAGGCTTATATCAAAGGATTTGTCAAATTAAAATTACTATTTTATAATGAATTATATAATAAAATATAATTCTTTCCTTCCCTTAATTTTTTTCATTTTAAAATTAAAATTTAAAAATTTTAATTTGAATCACAAACTTTTAACTAGTTGAGACATTTCTTATAACTATATTTGTTAAATAGATAAAAATCGACAAAAAAGAAAAAAGAAAAAGTAAGTGGTCTTCTTTATTACTATATTTGATATTTGAAGGACTAAAAGTATATAATTATAAGCTAAAAGAATAACTCAAAGTTTTAGCACTAAATTTTCTTTTTAAATTTCATCATCAAAAAAATTTTTTTTGGGTCTTGTACCATGCATCATACTCAAATAAGGGTTAATTAATTATAATAATAATGTGAGTTTATGTGATTGTGATCTCTATTAAAAACATTATTACCTAATCAACCTTCTTATCATATAAAAAATAATGTAATGGATCTAGTCGAGAGTTCATTTTTTTTATGCTATTAAAATATAATGGTGAATTCTTTTTCCATTTAATTTGTTATTATATACTAATAAAACATTACAAATTTATAGTCATATAATTTTAGTCATAGAGGATATTATTACACCTCAAAAAAGTTAAGCACGCTAAGGTAATAATCGTTTGACATGAGATTATTGGTTTTTTTTTTTAACCTCAATTAAAACATTTTTTTTATGAATTCTTTTTTCATTTAACTTGTTATTATATATTAATAAAACATTACAAATTTATAGCCATATAATTTTAGTCATAGAGGGTATTATTACACCTCAAAAAAGTTAAGCACGCTAAGGTAATAATCGTTTGACATGAGATTATTGTTTTTTTTTTTTTAACCTCAATTAAAACATTTTTTTTTTAATGTTCGTTCCTTTGATTGCAAATTGGAGTAATATCCGCACAAAAAACAAGTTTTGAAAATTCACCGTGTTGGAGCCCGTTGAAATCAAGCATTTGTGGACGCGTGGAGAAAAGAATTGTCCACAGAAGTAAAGAGTCAAAATCTCAAAACAGAGTAGAGGAGAAAATCCAACCACTTTTTTGTTTAAGAGTAAAGAAATTTATTTTTTTAAAATAAGATTTTAAGTTTAAAATTTGTAAATAAAAAAATAAGTATCGGGTGACTTTTTTTTTTATGAGATGTAAAATAATTTAATTTTAAATTAATTAGATTTAATAAAATTATTGGATATCAAAAAGTTAATAACAAAAAAAAAAGAGTAAAAGGGAAGAAATTGACAAGAAGTAGCCGGTGGAAAGAGCAGCGTTTGGTGAACGCCACTGGCAAGTGCCGTGGTGAACAAAATAATGAATGCATGATTTTTCTTCCATTGAATTGAATGAATAAAAATTTATAAAAACACTTTGAACGAGATTTTGATTTTCCTCTCCATTTGGGCATTTTTTATTTTCTTGTCAATCACTCAACCTCTTTTCATGTGAATCTCACCAACCCCACCTCTCCAATCTCTTCTTTCTTCCCCTTTTTTAACTCCAAACATTCCTATTTATTATTTCAATTAATTTCATATTTTTTATTAAATTTTTCTGAATAATACAGTTTAAAGTTGATGTTTTCGAGTTAGTTTATAAGATTGATTTTAAACACAATGATAAAATAATTAAATTAAATGTAAATATATATGAGTGCAAGTGAGAATGATTTCATTTTTAACAATATAGTAGTTAAGGATATGCATTAAAGAAAAACTAGTGTAATTAGTGGACGAAATGTAAAATAATTGGACGGCCTTTTGGCACAAAAAGAACCACAGAAACTATGGCTAAGTGGAGACCCCCATCATGGAACTTTGGTTGCTCTTTCATTCCCTTTTACAAAATGATGTTACTTGGGTTATTTGAACTTTTTAGATAACCATACACACAAAATAAATAAATTCACCTTAATTGATGGCATTTCCCACAACACAAGCACCATCAATGATAGCCATTTGATGTCCTTTCTTCCTTTATGGAATGGTGACATTTCTCAATCCGCATTTATGGATAGAAAAAAGAAAAAAAGTGTATAAGCTTCATTGTTATTGTTACATTTAAGTATTTGATTTTGATCTTAAAAAAAAAAAAAACTATTGGATCAATTCTCATTGAAAATGAGTGTATTGGGCTTTGATACCCAAACTAACTCTAAAGTTTAAACCTATTATCGACTATATGGGCTTAACTCCAACACAAAACCACTCCTCACGTCTAAGGCCCAGCAGAGTAGACTTGCTTTGGACTTCATCAATGTACAATTAGGCAAAAGGCCTTATACAGTTATACTTCCTCATTAATTTCTCTCAAAAAAGTGAAAATAAATAAGAAAATTAATATCATAATGTCTGTTTTTAGTTGTTTCAACCTTTAATCATCTAATCATGGAAATGGTTCTGCATTATCCATATTGAATGTTTAAGCAGTCCTTAATTTTGTGCTTTTGCCCTTAAAGATAAATAACAGAGTTCTTTAACTTTATACTCACATGCTAGCATTTCTTATCTACATGTCCAATAATGCTTGCCAGCTTTAGAACATTTTATATGAGGCAGGGAAATCAGAAGGAGCCGTCCTTTTTGTACCGAATTGTGGTAAAGGTGACCCACAAAAAGACCTTATTGAGAGAAGTTAGCTTCATTTTATGCCCCACAAGGAGGAGCCATCACCATTTCCTTGCCCTTGAATTGGCAGTATTAGGGCCTCATCTTCTTTATTGATAGTGATTGAAATGGAATCCAATGGAAAAATGTACAAGAAATAGTAAACAAAATTATTTGATATGAAACAAGATAGAAAGGAATTGCAAAGGTGAATGAACCTTTTCATTCTATACATAAGACACTGAGAAAAAAGAAGGGAAAAACAAAGGAAACACAATGAAGTTCTTGTTCCAGTGCCCTTGTTGCTCATGTTTCTGCTTCTTGAAGCCTCAGAAGGGAAAGCCTAAAGTGAAGGATACCAAAGAAGCGAAGGTAACGAAGGAAGAAAAGGACAAAGGAGACAAAGCAGTCAAGGCAGACAAAGCAGACAAAGCAGAGTGACACCAACAATGGAATCCTGTTCTGCATTTCCCTTTTCTGCATATCTAATTGTATGTAGCTTCTAATTAAGCTTTTGGCTTGCTATCCTTAATGCAATGAAATAATAAGATTCATTTTGTGATGTTTTCCTTGTGTTTGATGAAATGCATGTGAATAGTGCCTTTTTTTTTTGGATGCATATCTTGTTTAATCAAGAGATGATCTGCTTGCTTAGTTACATTTCCAGAAAAATTACTGCTAAATCTGAAACCAAAACATCTTGTTTAGTTGCATTTTACCAGGAATTCAGCATAACCCTACACAAGATGCATACAGAAAGGAGGGGGTAAGTAGTTTTCTGGGACTATGGACTTGTGCTTATGGCAGTATTCTGCACTTTGAATGCTGCCGTTGGAGAAATAGTCCAACAGGTGAATTTTATAAAACAAATGGTTGATCTTTTTCTAATCCAGTAGAAAAACAGAAGGCAATCTGAACACGATCCCATTCAGTTCATAAAACTATATTACTGATTTATGACAGACTTAGTTTTCCTGATGAAGGGAAGATGGATTAACGGGTCATGATTACTAGGCAGCTCTAATGGCAACTTCAATCTTGCTGTTGATATCATGTCTTGTGTTAGCAATCTATTTTATCTCTTCAAAGAAATTTAAGAACACATGGGAATGATTTATGTTTGAGTCTTCCATTTCACCCTTATAACCCTGAGACTAGCCCTGCCCTCTGCAACAATGTTATGTTGAGCTTTTCATTTTTCCAACTTCTCACTCCTTTATAAACACCAGTCATTACTTTGCTTGCCTTGATGATCACATATGGTCTTATTGCTGCAGCAAGGTTAGTTTTAGGTAACATTGATCTCTTAACTTCCTCTGTTTCTACCTGTTTCAGATTTCAAAAGAAGGAAAATGACTTGACAATGCCATGGTTGTCTGTTTTTGCACTTGTATTCTTCATCACTTTAGCCTCTGGCCATAACATCTAGGAGGTTCCATTGGTCTACCCTGGGATTTCTGATCCAATCATGCACCATGCATCAATAATTATGCTCAATCTTATCTAAATTTCTTTTGTGGAATTTTTTTAAAAAAGTAAAATCTTACCTAAAATTCCTATAATTAATTAATCAGTTTTTCTCATCTTATGTCCTTTCCCACATCTTAAAAATGCAATAATAAGTATCCTTATGTAATTAATTTATATAGAAAATATAAATATTAACTTTGTTTTTAACTAGGAGTAATAGACTAATTAAAATAATCCTTATAGTAATAGTGTTAAAATAAATTTAAATTTTATGCTCTCTTTATCTTAAAATAACTGTTATTTTTTAAATTTTTTTAAATTAAATTAAATATTTATGAATAATTCATTTATTTTCTTATATTATTTTCATAAAGAGGCTATGTAAAATATAAAGATATGTTTTTAACTAGGAGTAATAGACTAATTAAAATA